AATGTCCACATCATTAATGAAGATGTTGAACAATATGGGTCAAAGGACAGAGCCCTGGGAGACCCCCACACTGGTCACAGGACACCATGATGAGTGACTTACATCAGTTACTACCCTCTGGGTCTGACCATGGAGCCAGTTTCCCAGCCAGTGGATCATGGTGGACCCAAGGCTACAATTGTCCAGTTTCGCCAAGAGGTGATCATGGGATACCAGATCGAAGGCTTTTTTGAGGTTAAGATATATGACGTCAATTTCTTCTCCCTTGTCCAGATGATAGGTCACCTGGTCATAAAAGGAAATGAGATTGGTCAAGCAAGACCTACCCGCAACAAACCCGTGCTGGCTATCCCTCAGGATGTTGGTGTCAGGCAGTCCATTAAGGATGGCCTCTTTAATAAACTTTTCTAAGACTTTCCCCGGGATAGTGGTCAGGCTTATGGGCCTATAGTTTGCCAGATCCATTTTCCTCCCTTTCTTGAAGATAGGTACCACATTGGCCTTCTTCCAGTCTTCGGGCACTACACCAGAGCGCCAGGAGTTTTCAAAGATCCGTGCCAGAGGCTGGGCTATGATGCTTGCCAGCTCCTTGAGTACCCTGGGGTGTAGATTGTCAGAGCCAACTGACTTGAAGGTATCCAGCCTCTCAAGGTGTTCCTTCATGAGGTCAGCATTGATGGAGGGCAGGGGATCTCCCTCACCCGGACCTCCCTGTCCCGTAGTGGGCATGGGCATCCCATGGGACTGATGAAAGACCGACGCAAAGTACTCATTTAATAGGTTGGCTTTTTCCTGGGTGTCAGCTGTCACTGGTCAGTTGTCCCATCTGGTTTAGCAGGGGTCCAGTGTTGCCCTTGCTTTTCCTCTGGCTCCCCACATATCTGAAAAAGGTCTTTTTATTGTCCTTGATACTTGAAGCTTTTGAACTAAAGTACCTCCAAAGTGTTTTAGTTCAAAAGCATGATGCTGCCATTTTCTCAGCGCTGACACGCATTTTGCTACTTATACAACTGCAAGCACTGCAGTGCTTACATGTGTAAAAATGCCCTCAGTGTCTTAGGCTTAATTAGCTAGTATCAGGGACAGATCCACGAGGGGTACAGTGCTGCATTTGCACCCTCCTTTTGATTCCTGGTCTATCCAAAATTTAAAACCAAGTGTCTGGTGGTGGAAGCAGCAGCAGCATTTCTATTCAGGCAGGTGTGAGGTACTCAAATGACTTCATGGCTCATTATAATCTACCTGATTTCTTCTATACCCTTCCTTCTATAGGTGTTAACAATCCTCTCTCTTTTTTTAATGGTCTTTATGTTCCACTAATTTAGCTATCCTTTCTTGGCAATTCTGCTGTTAGCTGCTCCTGGTTATGTAGCACCTATTTAACAACATTACAGATGGTTTTTAACTCTAGCTATAAACATTAATTCAGGTGAATGTTAACTCAGGTATGAAAATAACTTTCACTGAAGCACTGGATCCACTGAGATGCTCTAGAAAACTAGGGTTTTTTTATGAAGCTGAAAAAGAGACATCTATTTAACTGTAGTGACTACAGGACTAATTAAACAGCATCTTTTGATTTATTTTTGCCTAGTTTGTTATACTTTTTATATTTAATGACACATTAACGCAAATTCCAATTAAGTTTTATTTATTTTTGCTTCAATTTTAAATTGAATAATCAAGTCCTAGGCTCCTAGCATATTTATAAAATATCTGATTTCTTTTTCACTGGAGAGAATTATGTGTTGTTTTATGTGGGATGATGCACCACATCATGTGAACTCCCCTTTTCAAAATCCTAGGTCCACCCATGTCCTCTAGTGAAGACATTACGAGCAAGCACGTGCTCACTATTTATATTTCAATCAGTATATTTGGCATTAATACCTTGATCTTATATATCATGCGTATCCATTTAATTTCAAGAAGATTAGTATATCCACTGAAGTGAATGGAAATATGCACATTCTGAAAGTTAAAGATGTGTGTAAGTTTCTGTAGAATTGGGGCCTCAAAGTATTAGGAAATCATGATAAAGAATAATTGCCAAACATGTTCAAGGCACTCGTCTCTGATTTTGTAGTATAGCTCTTCCAATTTAAAATAGATCTTTAACTTTTTTGTTTGTTTGTTTTTCTTTTTCTTTTTTTCAGGTAAAGACATGGGCAAAGTTCAGTAACTACCCACTCTAACATCTTACTGATATCCTAAGGATTTTTACAAAAATGCTTATTTTTAAACTGAGAAAATGACTACAGTTATAGAAGAAAGTGCAGGTTGTTGGAAAAGAGTGCCTGTCAAAAAGTGGAGCATCCAATAATTAGCTTGGAAGTAAGATAAAATTAATATACCTGTTATGGTGCGATTCTGGAGTGGAGTTAACTCTATAGCACATAGGTAGCCCTCCAAGGAAAAACAAACTTTCATTTTTTTCTAAATTATGGAAATTTTGTGGAAGACGTTGACCTGGATTTTGAGCCTAGTCATGGCTTCATCGGAATTTCACAGTGACAACAGGCTTTCATATAGTTCTCAAGGTAGGGGTCTTAGTTCTATAGCTGGCAAGGCATTTTACTCTAAGGTTAAGTAATTCTTTCCTAAACCATGACTATATAAGAGATGATAGATCATATGGGCTCAAAGGTACTTTTGTAATAATTTATTACTGTGAAAGTTCAGTTAGAGGGAAATCAGTTATGTCAGAGTCAATTCTAAGATTGATGTTTTAACTTCTCTTGTGGTTAATTTTAGTTATAAAGGAGTCTTGCAAATTAAATCTAGCCATAATGCTACATGCAAAGCGTGTTAAAAATTGACCATAAACATCTCTTAAAACTGCAGGAGTTAAAAGGTCAAAACATATATCGTACTATTCCCATTTGTAGAAAATTGAAAAGATATTTAAATGTTTTGTATAAAAGTATTTTTTCATTGTAATTGTTTTTATTTTTGCAGGTGGATCTAATAGTTTTATCGTTGAGTATCATCACCTTCCCAGGGCAGATTTTAGTCCCACATGTTGATGTAGCATGGTTAAATAGCAAGATATATGATGTATTTAAAATATGTTTTTATCTCTAGTAACATAAAATTAATAATCTGCACAAATTTTGCTGATTTTTAAAATGAATTTTTCCTCTATTTTATTTAGCAAATGTTTTCCTCTTGCATATCCTTGAAAATGACTTTCAGTCATTTATGCACTGGGATTTAGCCAAATGTGGTTAATATTTATACTACTACTTGTTGTTTCCTGTTATATTTTCTTCTCTTTTATGCCCACTTCCTGGACTGTCTTACCTTGTGATTACAAAGAGGAATTCCTGTCATACCTTGAACACTACCAACTAACAATCCCAATAAGGGTTGATCAAAATGGAGCCTTCCTCAGCTTTACTGTGAAAAATGCTAAACCCTCAAGGAGGAGGAGGAGTACAGACTCTTATGACCAAGAACTGGCAGCATCTAAATTATTTTTTAAACTTTCTGCCTATGGCAAGCACTTTCATTTAAACCTGACTCTCAACACAGATTTGGTGTCCAAACACTTTACAGTAGAATACTGGGGGAAAGATGGACCTCAATGGAAACATGATTTTTTAGACCACTGTCATTACACAGGATATTTGCAAGACCAGCATAGTACAACTAAAGTGGCCTTAAGCAACTGCAATGGTCTGGTAAGTGCATGTTATATATTTTAGTATGATAGCGAACTTGTCCATTTAAAATACAGAGGAAGAACTTAATTGGCATATCTTCATGTTCTTGCAAGAAGCAAGCAGACAGGAAGACCCCCTCTGCCTCTCCCTACCCCCCCACCCACAAACGAACAAATAACAACTGGGTTCTGAAGAAAAGTAGTCAACACTCTTTTAAACCTCATTGTAAGCACTAGGGCATTAATCCTTTTGTCATACAACAGGCAGCCTCTTCTTTGTTGCTTGTGCCTGTATTATGGTTGCAAGAATAGGGCTAGAGAGAGACTAGGTTTGTCAGATGTTTTAAACTTTAAGGATATAATGTCTAATCCTGTAAAGTGCTGAGTGCTTCATGTGAGGCACTGATGCTCTGAGATCCTATTTCAAGGTGTTGGCACCTGTGGAGATTTGGATACAGAAAAACTTAGGGGGAAGAACTGGTGTAAAAGTCATCAAAGTTATAAACCCTAAGAGTGAAGAGAAAAGCAGAACGCATGGCAAAATACCAGAGTCACAAAATGATCATTTAAACCTTTTACAAGATCTTTGTTTATAAATGAAAGATTTGCATGAAGTAAAAGTAGTGTTAGAAATCCTAGCATTTTCTGTATGTTGTTCTCATTGCTGATGACACTTTTGGGCATATCAGCAGCAATTTTTGCATGGAAAAAGTCTTACTCTCTTAAACTACAGCCAAAGCCTAAACATAACATGACACTGTTATGTCTAAAATAAAGTGATAAAAAAGAACAATAGTTGGGAAATACCAAAACAAACATCTACCGAATACTGTTGTAAATTAAAAAATATACATTGCTATTTTCTATGAGAAAATCATTATTCATTCACTATTCCTACTATGGTAGCATGCAGAACTAGCAGCTTGTTGTGTTAGGGACAGGAAGATTTAACTAACTTTTAGGAAAGAGTTTTTTTCCCTCAGAACTTATTTGGGAACTTCCTTTTTATCCTTGAAAATGCCATAGAATAGTACATGCTAGGGCACTGTTGATAACAAAAGCCTACTACTACTACAGTGGTGAGTGCCAGATAAGAACCAAGCTAACTAGAATAGATTGTGGTGTGTATAATGAATGGTATTCATGATTTCACAGAGTAACGTACTCTTGGGTAGTCTTCAGGAAATAGAAATTGGAGAAGGATTTCAAACCAGATAATTTTGTTTTTAAGAAGCTTAGTTAAAATATATTTCTCTGCTGAATGCTTTGTGTAATTCAGGGGTCAGCAATCTGTGGCCTATTAATAGACTGGATCTAGCCTGCAGCAGGTCAGGGATTCTGCAGGATGCTCCAGCCACAGCAGCAGAGGAGGCATCCTTACTGTAGGCTTTGGCTGTAGTTTAAGGGAGTAAAACTTTTTGCATGCAGGCATTGCTGCTGATATGACCAGGGTACTAGCACCTGCCTCTTCTGTGCGCCTCTTCTAGGATGCCCTTCTTAGCATCTGCTGATTGCTGGGGAGTGCACGGGTGTGGCCTGTGGCACGGTCTGTCTCATTCAGTGTGTTGTGGTGGCAAAACTTTGCCATCCCCTGGTGTAGTCTGATTAATGGGAATATGCAGTGAACATACTTGGGCTGAACCCAGTTTTTACTTTGTGATTCATCTTCAAGAACGTATTTTCTTTCTCCAGCATGAGTCTAAATCTAAGCCCGAGTGACCTGCATGTGATCTCTTTTTCTTTAAAGGTGGCTTTCCATTCTTGGGTCTTTGCTCACCAGAATTAAACATGCTGGAATTCCCTTATTCCTTTCACAGGAATTTGTCCTTTGAGGCATGCAGTGGATCATTCTGAGATCAACAATCAGCTTTTTGGTGCCTCCAAACAGTTTCAGCTCTTGCTTGCCCTTGGTCAGCTAATAAGCTCCCACTACAGCTGATTTCCTTTCTCTGCCGCCCCTAGAGATATTGACTTCAGTTTGTTTGGATAGCACTTCTCTGTCTTTGAGTAAAGTTACAGGTTATACTTAGATCATCCATACTAAGGGCACCTTAATGCTAGTGTCTGCAAGCCTGCTCATGCTAAATGCCCTTTGAGCATCTCAAAGTTATGCCACTTCAGGCTTAACTTTGGGTTGTGCTACTTAGCTCATGTTAAGGTAACTTCTGTCTGCCTCCACAGAGATAAAATGAGCAATTTGCAGACCTCCAGCATCCTAGGATGCACTACTGCCTGCCCTTCCCACTCTCCCCAGAGCGGAATAGAGCCCAAATGTCCTGGATCCTAGCCATGCTCTTGCTCACCAGCCCTCTTTTCAGAAGTCAGAGGTGTGCGGGCAAGAAATGGTATTAACCCATAATTTGCAACTGCTCACAGCATATTCTAACTGTATCACTGCTGGTTATTTTAAATATAAAATTCTTAATTATTTTATTTTAATTTTTGGCTTCTACAGGTTACATGCTTCTCTGATTTCAGTACTGTGGTTATTGTCCTTGTCTTTTCATTAGATATTCCTTTTGCTTCTTGGTAGGTTGGTAACTTCAGTGTGATGTTATCATCATATTGTGCTTTCCAGAGCCCTGATGGATTAAGGCAGTTCTGGGTCCTAGGCACACCATAGAGTGAAGCTTCCAGTGGCCTTCACCCCTCATCATGGCCATGCCTTTTACTTGGAGTGGCGTATCAGGAGGCCACTACTTGTTCCAGAAACACTGAACCGTGGGACTCCCTTCACTCTTCAGAAATAGCAGCAGAGGTAGCAAGCCAGATGGGCTTTCTTCTTCCTAATAGAGGCAGGAACCCTCCTGCCATTTACCAGTATGTGGGAACCCATCTAACCCATCTGTCAGTATGTGGGTCAAAATCACTGTGCTGTGCCCCTATCACTAACAGAGGTTTTTTTTGCTGGGCAGTGCTGGTAGGGGCATCTGCAGCTAGGTACTTGGAGTCAATGCTCCATTTAGATAAATACATCCCTGAGCTAATTTTCAGGCTCTCTGCAGATTCAGGTAGATGCCACTATATTAGCTGTCCTTGGACCTAATTTTCAAACTTTTCTTCACACCCACAGGAGTTAGAACCTTTTAAAAAAAACAAATGCTTATATTCTGTTGTACTTGCATGTCTCCAAGAACCAGGACCCTAACATGTTCCTGTTTCCAGCTCTCCTACCACATGTTCTGGATGGAAATTTGTGTATTTTCCACAGTTCTATGGACTACCATGGACCAGTACAGGCTGGGGGCTGACTGGCTAAGCATCAGCTCTGCAGAAAAGGACCTGGGGGTTACAGCAGAAAATAAGCTTCATATGAGCCAACAGTGTGCCCTTGTTGCCAAGAAGGCTAATGGCATACTGGGCTGTATTAGTTGGAACGTTACTAGCTAATCAAGGGAAGTGATTATTCCCCTTTGATTGAATTTGCACTTAGATGCTCTCCTTTTTCTCAGATATTTTTCTGAAGGTTTTATCTTCCCTTTTGGTTTTTGTTATATTTTTGATTTGAGGGGCTGATCAAGGAATTAAAACAATGCTCTTGAGGGTACTGAGGCAGTAGATCTTAGCATAAGTCTGTGCCTCAAAGAACCAAATATTTTTGGGAATTAGGGGAAGTTTAGCTGGGGATCTGAGACCCAAGAATAGGAAGCCAAGTGATATCTTTAGGAGAACACAACTAAAGCTAAGTGATTCCTTTTCTAATAGCCTTGGCTCAAAATCTTACTTTAGTAGTTGTGAAAAATGTTATTCTTCATTTAATTCTACTCTGTAATGGTGTGAAAGCCTTGCTTTAAATTCTTGACACTGCTGTAAGAAAAAACAAATTGTGTTCATTAAGACCTGCTCTTTTCAGAATAAATCCCATAGAATTGATAAAGACCCTGTTTAGAAGAGGTAGTACAACAAGCGAAACAGTAATATTTTATTCTTCAATTGCTTGTATTCACTACCAGGTTGGAGAGCCCTTTAGTTTCTGGAATATTCTCCCTGTGAAGGTACTTAGACTCTGTAATCAAAGCACCTCAATCTTCTTTAAAAAAAAAAAAATCTTATCCTTTTAGCCAAAGGATCATGCAGAGAGTTCATACTGAGATGTTTGGCCACTCCAGCCTATATATCCTTTGCAAAGTTGCTGCTTTACGGGATGCAGACATCGGTTCTACATGTATGTTTTGTATACATTGTTCCTAGATGTATACTTTTCATTTTTCTTTATTTATAGGATTTATTTCTTTCCCGATATGCTTTAAAAACTTCTTATTGCTTTTAGTATTGCCAGTGATGGAGATTTAGTAATGTCTTTAGTTTTCTATACTTTCTAACTTCTAATTTGTATTAATTGCATATCTATTTCTCCTTTTTTCCATTTGTTCTGTATTACTGACAGTCTTCTGGTTCTACTTGCTTCCTCCACTTTGCCACTTGAACCAAAATGGGCTTTTAGACAAAGATGTCCTCCAACTTGATTATGAAATCATGACATTTTTGTCATCTAATATATTCTTCTTTAAGAACTCCCAACTTTCACTCACACTTTTGTTTCACTGTTTTTTTCTGAGCTTTGGGATATCAACCCCTTTGAAGCCCAAAGGGTAGACTTCTGTTATTCTGTCCATCTAAATGGCAGTTTAGCTGTGTAAGTGGCCTTTTTGGTATGTACGGACAGTTTATGATTCTTTTATCCATGTGCTGTAGATGTGGATGTACGCACACATACAGTGCATGCTCAATAGGCTATGCACTAGCTAGGAGCTGCATAGCTAAATAGGCATGTACACTGCTGTAAATCCTAGAAAGAAGTGGCAGGAAGAGAATATCCCTTCCCATTCTTTAGCTACAATTGCTGAGAGGTTAGGGGCAGCCACCAGAGAAACAAGAGACAGAAGTTCTAGGCCTGCCTCTTGAAGAGGGAGCTTGAAGTGCCTCTCTAATTTTCTAGTACAGTGCTCCAACCAACACCCTACGGGGTTGGCATTATCCAGACCCTTCTGCAGTACTCATTTTGAAGCTGAGCCACTG